AGAAATCAATATGTCAGATACTTTAGTCTACACAAAATAAATTTCTTAATAGATCATTCATTCAGACAGATTGAATTTTTACTTTAGATAAGAATTATTTATGTAAGTATTACTGTGATAGTTACTAAAGAATAAAACCAGACTCTTTTGGACAGGAATCTAACTAAGTCAACTGCTTAAAGGAGAGTAAAATTTCTGAGGCAAAGTATTGCAAAACAAGGGAATACATGTGAAAAATATTAGAAATGGTACAGCAGGAGTGAATTTGGGAAATTTGACTTCAATAAGCATCTTAGAGGAAGAAATAAAACAGAAATCTTTTTCCAAATTAAAGTTTTTAATTTATGAATAATTCTACTTATAAATAGATCCCTGACAGGACATTTTGAGTTTTAGAGTCTGAAAATTTGCAAATAAACTGGTTACTAACTGGAATAAAAATATGTTTTGCAGTTTTAAAATTTATTTAAATGGGAATATAAGGTTGCTATTGTTTTAATGGCAAAAAAAAAATGTTTCCACGAAATTTGTTTATAAAATGAATGTGTGGCTTCATTGAGAGGCAGGAATTTAGGTGACAAGGTAAAAAGAAAGCTACACATTTTATTATTTTGAGATTCTCCACAATTTTTAGGAAAGTCTAATCTTTTTCTTTTATTTGTACATATTTTATTGTTTTGGTATTATCAATAATTTTAAGAATTTTGATGTGCAGAATTAAAGTATAATGCTAATAACATAGGGATTATTTCTAAATCTTTGATTGCCATGTTGTATACTTAAATTTGTTCTTAGAAAGATAACCTCATAGCACTGGGACTAAAATAGATGGAAAGAAGAAATTCTTGAATGGCAATGTGTCCATATGGTAAGATAGAACTTGCAAAGTTAATTTTTCTTAATTAGCAGTAACTTAATCAGTTCCAAGTTAGAACTGAGAAAATGTTTTCGGTAAACTAAAGCTTTTTTGTAGAGGTATCCTTTTAAAATAACTCTTATCTCTGCGTTTCCATACTGTGTAAATTGGAAGTTTGAACCTACTATTTTTAATTCCAGCAAACATTTTGGCACCAAATCTTTGTTTCTGTCTTTTGTGCTTGTGGTAATATGGTGATATACGGAAGATGTTTCAGAGTTACTTTTAATGCTATGGGGGTGGTGGTGATAGTCAGACAAAAATTACTTAAGTGTTATTTGGAATTGTAGTTGGAATGTACTTCCATTTAATTATGTGTATTCAATAACTCATTGCTTCTGAAAATTGTCAATCTTGCAAAAGTTAATGAGCTATTAAAAACTAGTCTATGTAAACATTTAAGTAGAATTAGAAATTTGGTATTATTTGGGACATACACCTATTGATTTTCAAATGTTAATTCGATTTTATTTTCTGACATTTTAAATTGGTTTTGGAAATTTTAATGTGGTGCACGACTAAGATAAAAAGTATTAGTTTATATACCAGACTCACGACTCAAAAACTAAGGACAAAGAGTCAAATCCAGCACACTCAAAATTTTGTGGGAACACAGCCATATCCATTTGTTTCCATATTGTCTATGGCAACTCTAGAGCTGCGGCAGCGAAGTTGAGTAGTTTGGCATAGACTCTACGGCCTGCAAGGCCTAAAATATTCATTATCTGGCTCTTTAGAAGTGTTTGTCAGCACCTTATCCTGGGGCTCCTAGAAAGCTGTAGCTGAGCTTTACAATTGCCCATGAAAAAGAATAATTAAGGGCGCTAGCCTAAGAGGGAAACAAATACAGCCTATGGTATTCATTTCAAAATCTGCAATCAGATTTTGGTTCATGGTAAAGAAAATGTTTAAAAATTAGAATAGACTTGAGAAGGTATTTGGTTACATTTTAAGTTTAATTATGGTCACTTACTAAATGCATGGGTAGTGTGTATGTAATTCTAGATAACCTATACCTTTAAGATTTCTGTCCTTTTGGGGTGGAGGTGATAGTGGGGCTTTGCCTCTTTAGACAGTGAGTGATAGACTCTGCTGATTCTGACACAAAGGGTCCCATGGACCCCCGCAGTTTGGAGGCAGTTCCATCATGGATCTGTACGTGTGTGTGTGTGTGTGTGTGTGTGTGTGTGGTGTGTATAGTGTGTATGAAAAAAAGACTATTGCCTTAAAAGCAGAACTAAAGTAGACCCAAATAGTTACAGTTTTCAGGAAAATAAGAATCATGGTACATAAAAATTTAAAAGTTGGTTGAGTACGGGAAAAATAAATTTTCTGGTATTAAAGAGGTCTAAAATGCAGCCTTCAATGCTGCTCACTAAAAACACTGAGCCAAAAGATAAGTGCTTTCTACGTAGAAAATGGTAAGTGCTTTGCCCTTTAAAAAGGGAATCCGGAAAATGTTGCCCTTTTAATATGTCCTATAGCCTGCCCTGGATTTGAGGATGAACAGAGATGGCACTAAAAATGATAAAGCAATAAATCATAAAGCCCCAAAGTTCCTTTTGTGTCAAAGCTCTTACATGTTCAGAAGGCAATAACTATCTTCAGTACATACCAATTTCCCTATGTGGGATGGAAATTGGAGAAACTGTGAGAGAAAATACTGACTAGGAATAAAACTGCCTTTGTCTCTTTTTCATTTTCCTTATTTTGAATTTTTTTGCTGTCCACATGCTAATTGGAAATCTTAATAGTTCTAGCTGCAAGTTGATACCTGAGGCAGAAAGAAAACAAATATAGGTCTGTATTTCAGCTGGAATCTAAAGTAAATATAATCATTTTTTTAATGTTCAAAGCATTTTAGGTTCTTTTCACTCTCTTCATGTGTTACCTGCCTTTGCTTTTCATGCATTTGAAACACACACTCTCCTCTTCATAGTTCTCTTTCAGTTTCTAAAATACCAGTGTAAGTGAGAAAAGGTAAAAAGCTGTTAGAAAAATCCCTTTCCTTTAGAAAGTTCATGAACACACAAGTTAACATATGAACGATGAATGAGAGTATAAATTTCTTTATACATCAAAAAGTAAGAATTATAAGGCAGCAGGTCATTTTTTTGGTTACTGATGGACTGGACTTGGAGTCATTTGTAGGATTAATTTGGAGTACTGGTCAGGATCAGGAAATAATAACAATTCCATGATTATTAAAGTTTCTTCTGAATCTTTAGAATCTTTACATAAATGTGCATGCAATGCCTTGCTTCTCCATTAGTAACAGGACTTAATTATTTTGTGAACCACTTTAGGGAAATCTTTAGCTAGTGACTGGAAAATGGGGAATAAGCATGCTCTGCTCTATTCCAAAAGTACTTGACTTGGAGGTTACTTTTCACGGTAGAGTCAGGACAATCTCTATTAAATGCTTATATAAATAGGAAGTGCACGTTTCTCCGCAGTGTTCAGAAGACTACGAACAGCAGGCCTTCCATGAATATCCCAGGCTGTGCCCTGGGAAGGAAGCTCTTTGTACATTTAGTGCACACACTTCCCTATTTAGCTCTCCAGATTCACTTCTTGTGACTGAATGGAAACGACAATCTTTATACGACCTGAGTTCAATGTAATGGTTTTTGCTTTTCCTCCCAGGACTTTGTAATTTTCGATATCTTTTTGTTCACTGGGCACTTAAGAGACCCTTCCTGATCCAAAGATCATGAGTCTACCATGAACGTTGAGGCTTGTCTCGGCAGACTTGATTCTAGTCAATAACACTTGCCTTTGTCTCCACATCCACCATCTTTAAGGACTTTCACTCCACTTTCCTCATGTCATATACTATTAGAAAATTGCTTCCATAATAACAGAGGGTGCAGGTTCTGGGGCCAGATTGTTCGAGTTTGAATTCTAGTTAGCTGAGTAAACTTGGACAAGTTATTTACTATCTCTGTGCTCAGCTTCCTCTTCTGTAAAAAGGGGATGATAGTTGTATTTTTCTTATAGGGTTGTCATGATGATTAAATGTTAATATGGGTGAAAAATTTGGAATACTGCTGGAGAAACAGTAAGTATAATATTTAAGAACATTGTTTTTATTTACGTTGGGCCCCATAAAGTTTTATGACCTATGCCTAGGGAATAGGTACTGAATAAACATTTTTTAAACTAGTGATAAAATACAATTTCTACATAATATTTTGTCAGTTTTATAAAAGACTGAAAATATTTAGTGCTGGGGGGAAAGTGGGCACTGCTGGCAGGAGTACAGTTGGTACAGCTTCCATGTATAATATGAAATGCACCACAACAAGGCTCGGTACTCCATATATAGGTATGCATTATTCTGGAATGTTCATAGCAACAGAGTATTTATTGAATGCTTTACTGAAGAGTGTGGGGACATCTAGATTGCTTGTGTGTCACAAGCAGGTCATGAGAAACCAGGACCACTGCTTGATACACCACCCTTCAGCCACTTCCCACCACTATTTTTGTGCCATCACCCATGTACCATGTTGGAGCTAATGCTGAGTTCAAAGTTAGAGTCCTCTTGAACACCTAGAGGTTCTGCCACAAACATGCCCATTACTTTCTAGTTCCTCATTTCTTTTTGGATAGTTCTATGGAATCACCTCCTTTTCTCAAGGTGTGGGTAGGTCCTTGAGGGTATAGGGAAGAAGATCTGGCAATCACTTCATTGATCTACTCCAAACATCCTCTCTAAGACTGTTTCACTGTAGATACAGGAAGTCATTTGGAGGTCAAAGCTAAGATGCTTTGTTCTGTGTGGTAACTTACTGGTTTAGAAGCCTCAGCTTTGGATATGGTTGATTAAAACAGATTTAAAGATGAAATGAAAACAGACTAATTTAATATCTCACCATTATTGTTCGCCTTAAAAAGAAATACACTAAGTAAACTTCTTGTTCATCGTTATTTTAAACTCCACACATAACTTGAGGAACTTTTTATGAAAACCTTCCCCTGCAAGTCCTGGACCTGGGGAGTGGTGTCATTGCTTATGCTGTTGAGGCACATGTTCTTTTAGCTTGTTTGTGAATCCTTGTGCATGTGAATATGTCATATTCCTTTATCTTTTGAGTATAGGATTCCAAACATATTCAGGAGTCTTTTCAGAAAAAAGTTCACTTCCTTTTTACAGCAGTTTATTGGAAAACACATATTTTCTGTCTTCCTTTTATGCTGTTACAGGTTCTACATTGAATGGAAAGTTTGTTTCAAAATAATTCCATTAATTAGTAGAGAGTGTTGATCACTGATTAAACGATTGTGATTTATCTGCTTTTGTTCACAGGTAGATTTGCTACAGCTCTTTCATTACTGGCTTTCTGCCCATCAGTATTACCTCAAGATGATTCGGAGCAAAGGCTTTCTGGTTAAAATGTGATGAAGTCTAAAATCAAAATGGCAGAGAGCCGAGAACACTTCAGGTGGAACATAAGTTCGCTTATAAGGTAAAGCACTCGTGTAAGGTGAGTGGCTGTACCCTGGTGTTCAACTCAGCTTGAATTTTAGCTGAATAATTCTGTGCAGCTCCATTTGTTACTTAATGTAGTTATGAAAATGTATTTGCCCTTTGGTCTTCGACATTCCCCACACATCTTTTAGAGTGCTTAACATTCTTTCTGTTCCTTTCAGGGGAAAAATTTACTTCTTTTTTACTATTGATAATAGAATATTTTGAGTGATTTTTTTTTTTTTTGCTTTAAAAAATATGATAGGCCCCCATGGTGAGAACATATGATTTACTATGCCAAGCTGTTTTGCTGATTTAGCTTCCAGATGAACAAGAAAATGAAAGGCAGAAGTGAACAGTTTAGATCAAATAGTAGATATCACAAACAAAGTGACAGATATAACTCTTGAAAAATGTGAAATGTAGTGGTTAAGATTAAATTTAGTAATTCCCTTGGGAATTAGCTCTATGTAGAACATTGTATATAGAACATTGAGATAATCTTTGGCAGAAAAAGGATTATCTCATTGTAATCAATCCAGTGGAAGAGAACACCCCTTACTTGGCCATCTTTCTCTGTGAGCACACAGGTCATTTCATAGAACAACCATTATTTTCAGCCACCAGCTATTGGGGTCAGAGTGAGTTGTGTCCGTGACTGTCTGTACATCCTTTGGCCACAGGCACTTGAAACTAATTTTTAAATGGACTAAAAAATTCCAAAAGTCAAGTTATAGTAATCCAGCTGCCATCTGATAATGAAAACTCTGCCTAATTTTTACTTTTTTTTTTTAATAATGAAAAGCTTTTTCAGAAATAATTTAAAAAGGTGAATATAAATAGGTGTATTGACAAACATTTTTATTGAGGGGGAATACTGCTATTATTCCCCTATTTTACCCTCAGAGTAACTCCATTTTTTAATGTTTGGGTAAAACAAGTTATTAACAACAGTTAAATATTATGCAATGTATAATATTATACATGTATGTGTATATACATAGATATATATGTATATATGCATATATGTACCATGTAATAAATATATATCATATATTTTATGTATGAAACGTGTAATACATACAATATATGTATTTTATCTTTTATGTATGAAATATATAATATATATATTTATATATAATAAATATATTACATACATTTACATATGATTGCATATGTACTCTATTGAAATTTATTACAAAGGTATTATACATATATAACATATATATGTAATATATTTTAGAGATTTTTAATATAGTTGAGAACATTAGCTTCTTGAGGTTTGAGATCAGACCTGAATCTTGCCTGCCTAACAGTAAGCAGTGACAACTTGAAGGGATAGATTTCAGACCTAGAGTACAAAAAGGCATCTAAGGGGAAGAACATTTGAAATGTCTCCTGTCCATATCTATCTACTGATTTATCTGTCTGTTTCTCTCTCTCTCTCTTTCCATCTGTCCATCTATTTGGATTCACCAGAGGATGAAAAGGACCATCTTTATGAGCATCTTGCAGGGAGCTGGGAGGACACATGCTGGCTGGTGCCTATCATTCTCTACATCTTAACTTAATTCTGAAGCATGAATTTCAGCTGAAAGGAGGCTCGAACTTTATTCTTTTTTTTCAAACAGAAACACAATAGAATTTATTTCCTTTCTTTTTGCTGAGGGAGAAACAGTCTCCTGGTAGGGGAGTAGTATTTTCAAAAGCTTCTTAGGTGTCTTTAAAAACAAGGAGACAACTGAATTGTAAGTGCTGCCTTTTCTCTTAATAAACTTCATCCAGACAGTCAGCACATCACACACTGACAGTCACATTTGATTATGGTTTATGTTTCTTACCATCAGAATATTTCTTTGCCTGAAAAATTGTTTCCATATTTACTACCTCCACATCCTCCCCTAGAAATGAGGTAGAGTCTGTCAGTAGGCCATAATTTCTGTGACTCAATACATTTTCCATTCTCTTTGAAGGCTGTAGGACAGAGGTCAGGCCTAGCTTTACATTCTCTATCTTCTTTGAGGTTGTAGAGTAGAGGTCAGGCTTAGCTTGCCAGTCACTGCAAATTCCCTTTATTCTCATAATATGCTGTGCTGAGTGTTAACGATAACATGGGGCACCAAGGCTTTTTTCTCCTCTCATTATTCTATATTTGAAATTAACTGAATATTAAAATTAGGCACCTTTTTCCCTAGGTAAAGATGTGTTTTAATTCCCATCTCTAATTTTAAAGTGTGTCACTAGGTTAAAAAAAAAAAACAAGATAAAATTGTGGAAATTATGTTATAAACTATATTGGTGAGGAGAAGTAATAATTCAATCATTCCACTTAGGAGACCAGAGGTTGTTATTAAAGATGGTCTGCAGGCAAAGAGAGAAAAACAAATGGGACCATCATCAATGCAAAACAACAGAAACACAAAAACTGATTCTATCAACGTGCAGTAGGGAAAAGAGTAAATGTCACAGAATCTACAAAAATGAGAAACGAATAAACAGGCTCAAATTTTAAAGTCGATGCTTTTAGAGAGATATACTTGATAGGCTTTCAGAACTCAGGCTTAAAAATGCCTCACAGAACAAGAATTATTTCATGTTAATTTTGAGTTAAATTTTAAAACATGAGTTGCAAAGTTTAATCACGTAAGTCTCAAAGAGTTGTTTATAGAATTAGGTGACTTAGTACTTGCAAAATATTCAGAAGAGTGTTTGTCACATAATAATCTCTGTAAGAGTTCCCTTCTATTATTTTCATCTCAGTTGGTCCTTGCATAATTCTTTCAGGTGGATACTGCTATTATTCCCTTCAGGTGTGTCTCAGAAGGTGAAGTCACTTGCTTGGAAAAACTACATGTCCCTACTGAATACCATCTTCATGGGGACTATCACTTAGGTGACTGTCCTTCTCTGGTCCAGAGGTGGGCTACAGCAGAAGCTGGTGTCCTCAGATGTTCTCTCCTTTGATTTTGAATTTTAATTAATTAATTAATCTAGAGACAGAGTCTCACTCTGTTGCTTAGCCTGGAGTGCAGTGGTGCGATCTCGGCTCACTGCATCCTCCTCCTCCCAGGTTCAAGTGATTTTCCTGCCTCAGCCTCCCAAGCAGCTGGGATTACAGATGCATGCCACCACACTGGCCAATTTTTGTATTTTTAGTAGAAACGAAGTTTTGCCATGTTAGCCAGGCTGGTCTCAAACTTCTGACTTCAGGTGATCCGCTCATCTCAGCCTCCCAAAGTGCTGGGATTACAGGTGTAACCCACTGTGCCTGGCCTTGATTTTGAATTTTAAGTGGTAATGAGAACTGTTGGAATGTATCCCTGTAGAGAACGACCTGGATCCCAGGGACATACCCAGTTTCTGTGCTTTCTGAACGTGGTTCTTCAGAATTTATTTTGATCCTTGAGCTATTCCATATCTTTCCATTCAGTTGTTTCCATTGTGACTTTTGTTCTGCATGGCTTTTGGCTTGGGTGAGGGAGTCTGGTATATGACGGAGGAAAATGACAGTGCCCCGTCACAGTCATCTGTGCTGTGGCCTGAGCTGGCCTAGGAAAAGCTAACATGGTAGAAACCTTTGTCCTGGGAAAGGAGGGATTCAAATGGCCCCAGTCCAAACATGGTGCCTTACTTTTCTAGTACAATAAAATCATGGTGATAAAGGGAAGCTCAAATTTTTTTCACCTGTTTTACATCATCAGCTTAATGATTACCTGGTGGAGGTCTGAAGTATTCTTAAGTGCCCATGTTTAGTCACTTTCTTTGTTCATTTTTATATGACTATATGACCACTCTGTTTATAAATCTGGTTTTTATTTCCTCTTATTGATACCAAATATTATCAACTTCTTAAAGAAGGGACCATGGTTTTTTTTCTACCCACCAGGACCTGTGATTCATAGTTTTGCCAGGTTTTCCAGTTATTCTGACTGTTCTCAACTCTGTTCAATTGTTCTTGTTCTCCTGCAGAACCGCCATCCCGTTCTCCCTTCTAGATGTTTGCTCATGTTGTTTCTCCCGCTTGAAATGCTCTTTCTCTCCCACTTTATCTTTGAAAAGCCTGTACCATCTTCAAACCTCAAGTGGCCCTACTTCCTCATGTGTCATTTATGTTGATTTCTCTCTGAATTCCCATAGCACTTACAATCAGTACTTCACAGTATAGTAGTTATTTTATGTGAGTATTTACCTGAATGGTAAGATTCACATAAACCGTGATCAGTTTTTTCCCCAACATTTTAGTATCAAACATTGTAAGCATTCAGATAAATTAAAAGGATTTCACAGTGTAAACAGCGATGTACCTACCTACAATTAACATTTTGCTGTATTTATCATTTTGCTATCCTTGCACTATCACTTATATATCCCCCATTCATCCATCTTTTCCCCTTTTTTGTTTGCATTGCAAAAGAAGTTGCAGAGATGAGCATATTTCACCAGATGCTGAGGCATACTTTAGCATGCTTAAAGTATGAGTCAGTATTTTTTATATTTTTTGTGATTAACTTTTCTCTCCTTAGAATCCAGCCGAGTACTGACCACATTGTAGATGTTCAATTCTTTCTCACTGGATTGGATTTAGGAACCACTTTGAAAAGCATATGAAACTAAAGGTGTTTAAGCCCAGATAAGTGGTCTCTGGAGCCTCAGAGGCAGATGGAGATGGGTGTGTTTTACAGACTTTTGGAAAATATATCTCTGTACGTAGCTTGTATTAGCTCAACTTGTGACCTCTCAAATACGTCCTAGGAGTATGTCCGGGCAAAGTCTGAGGAGGCACTTGGCTGAGAAACTAGACAGGCTACCATTTGATTGACTGAAATACTAAGAACATTGATGCTGCAGAAATAAGAGACAGATATTCTAGTTTATCTGAAGGTAGATACAAATGAGGTTATAAAATAGTCATAAAAATGGGGTTAATGTGCGGCAGCCTGTTCCATTGCCCCCAGGTGGGTGGAAATTCAACTCCTTACAGAGCCAGCACATTCTCCAGAGAGACAATTTGGGCCCAGGCAGACGATGGCTTTGCAAGGAGGCTGCTTTCCTGAATCCGTGTAGGCAGTGAGTTTCTGACATCTTATTAGGGGAAAGAAAGTCACAGTGCTTTTCAGATTTGGTAACACTTTTTAAAACATGTTACTTTAGCAGTCATTATTCACCCTGACTTCTTTCTTTAACAGAGATATATTTATATCCATATCCACATCCACATACATTGCTTCATTCTTCAAATGACAGGCTTCTTCTCATCCACGTGTCTCTGATCATCCCCTCTTTGGCGTCCTCTCCTGACTCTTGATTGAATCCCTCCCACCCCCCGCCATTATGCTGTATCTCTGAATTCTATTTTACCTGAAACATTTTTCAAAATGACTAACTATACACTTGTTTACTTGTTTCTTACATTTATCTTAGTGTGCTAAAATTTCATAATGTCAGAAACACATTTTTCCATTATCCTCTGTAACTATTGGGTCTTACAGTACCTGACTCATAGTAGACTCCTAATTAAAATGTACTGAATCATGTATACTGAAAATACATGAATAGGGAGAAAATTTAACTCTCACTCTGGCTCTTCCTTTCTTCATTTTCTAGCACTTTTATATATCCTGGCTCCTTGACTGGGGCCTGTGCTCAAACCTGACTTTCTGGGCAGTGCCACAAGTTAGAAAATCATCTGCTCCATCTGTAAACTTCCATTCCTTCAGCAAGTGGCTCTCACAGCTGGGGGTTAGGAGAAAATTTTATCTGATGAAAGAAATTGACCACAAGCTGTGAATGATTGAGAACTTTGCTTAATGTGTTAAATCTCCTGAGGATGTTTACCTATTATGAGAGTGGTAAAATCTGATAGTATGACTAAGCAACTTAAGTAATTTCAGGCAGTGTAGGTGAAACAGTGACTCAGCTGTCTAAATTCACAATCTGAATGATTTGAAAATTGAGAAAAGCAAATTCATTCTTCTTTGAGCATATTATAATCTCACTTTTGTTATGCGTCTTTATATTATAAGGGGAATACAGAATTCCATTGTCTCTGACAGATTATCTGGTGGCTGATACATTGAATTAAGAATGTAGGGAATAGTTAGGATGGTGAGGATTTCCCAAATCATGTTGTTGAAAATGGGTTAGGAGCTGGGAGTACTTTGTTTACAGAAAAAACACAGGGAAGATAAGAAAACTTTGCCTCATTCATTTGAGAAATTTCCTTTGAACACATACTGTATACTGGCAATAAGTTAAGTGCTGTGGAGAAGCAGTGATTAAAAACACTAGTCCTGCCTGCACAGAGTTTATATTTCATGATTAGGAAATAGCTAAGGACAGTAAAGTAAAAAGAGGGAGATAAATTCATGGTTATGCGTGTTCTTTCTTTTTTTCTTAAAAGAGCAGGTAGAGGACGAATGTACATAAAATTGCAAGGATAAATACATTTCCTTAATGTAAACAAGTCCCTAACATGCACAGAGTCTATAAATGTGAAATGAAATGGGATGCTTTCTGGAATAGCAATTTCCCATTATTGTTAAAATTTAGTTAATGCTATCAAGCTTTAAAGTCTTAAAAAGGTTTTAGATAAAATTAAGGTTTCAGATAAATCCCATATGCATTAGTGATGAGAATACAGACTTGCCCATAGTTTTTAAAAAATAAGATTCTGTGATTTTGTGTTACTCAAGATCACTAATTTTCACTTATGATGACCAGATAAATGAGCATGATTGTTCTTATAAACAATAGTCTTCCAGGTCAGGTTTGAAAAAAAGAGTTATTTGATTTGGACTGTT